ACGCCTATTTTCTAAGCAGGCAATACAGGGCTTCGCCTAGGCGTATAGCTTAACTGGCGCGCCGTGTAGGCTCTCGTCGTTAGCCTTAACGTCGTTAAGTCTCTAGCGCTTTAATAATCTATTAGAAAGCCTAGCCCCGCGCTTAAAAAGCTACTTAATTAGCTTATATATAAAGTATTTATGCCTACTGCGTTTTGCCTCGTACGCTAATAAGTAGGACAAGAGCCTATACGCGTTATTAAGAGCCAAATCGATAAAAAAGTAAAAGAGCGGTATTTAAGTGCGTTAGCGTACTTACTGCGTTAAGTAGGGCTTACGGAGCTGGTTAAATCGATCTACCTTACTTTTATAGTAATTATAGCTATTAATAAGCTTAAGGATACCTAACTACTTAATTTTCTTGCTGCTAAAGGCCTCCTTATACGGCTTCTTATTTATAGCAGCGTTGGCGGGGCGGTAGCGTAGGCTTTAAATAACTTGTAATCCTAGGTGGCGACTATCGTTAGTAGGTTTTAGCTTAGTGGGGACATCCTTAAACTTACCGTTAGCGGTAGTACTGGCAAAAAGGACCACCTAGGCATCCCGCCAGGCCATCTCTAGTATAGTGTTATTACTAGAGACCTTAAAGAACGCCTCTCTCTATCGCGCTATAGGCGTAAATTACGTCTTAAGCTTTATTAAATTGCTGTTAAATTGCTCTTTTAGCGGCCCTGCCCTGCGCGAGGATGGAGACCTAGCACTACTAGCTGAACCCTTGTGTGTAATCTTGGTCTCCTACCTTTTCTTGGTGGCTGTTCTGGTGGTGCGCACCATCCTAGCGCTGCCAACGCCTTACTCCCTTAGGTATTTAAGTAGCGAGATTGTCGTGAAGAGATTGTCTATCTAGAGGATATGGCGCCCCGGGGGGAACAAGCGCTGGCTATTAGGGCCTTAGGCAAGGACGAGAGTAAGAGGCATAGCTTTAGTAGGCGTAAATTTGGCTATCTTAAGGATATTAACGTTAAGATTAATAGGGCCTCGGGTGGCGCCTTTTGCGTGGAAAAGCTAGTTAAGTACAACACCGTCGGACGCTAGGCACTAGATTTTAAAGCCCTTAGGCGTTAACTTTAACTTAATAATAATAGTTTCGCTAGCGCGCCTAATAAACCTAGCAATAGCTTCGTCGACGCAGAGGTGCTTACCAGCGTGCTAAACAGTAGAGGATGTCGAGCGTAGGTGCTTAGAGAGATCCTATACGCGCCTAAATGGCGATTTGAACGACTGCGGAGCTTCTGTACAGTACATGTAGCGATTGAGCTGCTGCCAGCGCGTACAGGCCATGTAGTTGTTGATGGAGTGAGTAGGCGCGTTTTTGTGTAGCTTCCCCCAGTACTCCTCGATTGTAGGCTCCCGGTGTACGCCCATATACATAAGGATGGCCAAGTAGGTGTAGAGCTCAGTTTTCGACGTCGGTTTCCACGCCCGGGCGTGTGGCCTGCCCTAGGCGGCATCCTCAGCTCGTACTTGCTCTGCGTGTTGGTTCGTATGTAGGGCTAGCTTTTCGAGCTGTGCGGCGTCAAAAAAGAGACTAAACAAGACAAAAGGATTAGTGGCATCTATGCTAGTAGGCAGGTGGGCGCTGCCGACGTCGTCGTTGTATATAGAGAGAGGCTGCCAGGTAGCTAGTGGAGTAGTTAGCAATTAAGGCCTTAGGCCGCAGGGTTTCGTATATTTAGTATAGCGCACTAAATTAGAATCTTATGTAGCACTATGCATTATTAATTATAAAAAGAAAAACGCGTTTTGTGCGGGATTTAAAGCTTAAATTATTATTCTACTATTATCACGATAGCTCTCTAGAGTTGAGCTAAGCAACGCTCTGATTGGCGCTCACCAGGTGGTCCGTGGGTGTGCGATTTTGACGGTGCGGGGGATAGTCTCCGCCCAGTCCAGGAACGTGGCGTGGTGACCGTAACGTAACCTCTCAGTTAGATCATTGTTTTGTTTATACCAATCTTGACTAGTTCCCGCTAAAATAGTATTTCTTAGTTTAACACTCGGTTCCCGAGCCGGGGGTGGAGCTGTATCGACCGAGGGAAAGTCTGCCGGAGACGGTTTCCTGCTAAACCCACATGTTGTGCACACAAGCATGATTACACCGACTTTAAGGCGCGTAGTTGGTGGACTGGACACGGCTTCCAGCTTCTCACCACTAGGAAAGATGCATTCCGTCGTGCACCTCGAGAGAAACGTGAGGTTATCACATGACGTTCCAAATCGAATGTATCGTACGACCACCGCCCCTCCAAGAATCAGGCCATCAGCCAACATGTTTCTGCGCTTCCAATCATCCCAAAGGCCCATCATACCGCACGAATCACGAACTCACCGGTCCTGAGTCGCGCTCGCGCTCCCCATCACCTCTTCTCACTGGACGGCCCAAACTCCCTCTACATTCAACACCCTCCCCGTTCCTGCCCCTTCCAGCCATTCCAAGTCCTATTCCAGGCCAGCTAAGCCGCCAAGTGCTGGATCGCTATGCCGCGCAAATAACCATCGTCTTAGGCTCACTTCTTACAGCAATGCCGGCACGCTGGGCGATGCTTACCCACAGCGAACGCCGGAGTAATGAGCCGGCGGTCTAGACTGCGCCTTCGACTGTAGGAATTATCGAGGGGCCAGCAGTCTGAGCAGACAGCGAGGAGTGCTGCTCGAAGTGCACCTACTCGTATTGCGTTACCCAGTGCGTTCCCTGACTTGGTTCATGGTTGTGGTCGTGGTCATGGTGACATGCGACGCTGTGCGAATTGTAAGGGGCGTTACACGCTCCGATGACGTTGATAGGCTTGCGTCTCGATTCGGTTCGCATAAGCTAGCCGATACGTAAGCTGGCCACCCGGGTAAGCTGGCCACCCCACCAAAACGCGACACCTGCACAAAACACGCCACATCTCTCCACAACGCTCATCAATATGGACGCCCGTGAGCATGCTATACAATCAGCTATTAGAGATTTTAATGCAGGCATTTATTCTAGTCATCGCGCTGCGGCTACCGCGTACGGTGTTCCTCGATCGACCCTATCGACGCGCATCAATGGCGTACAAAACCGACGCGTCAGTCACCAACACCGGCAGCGTCTGACTCCTCTACAGGAGGACTTCCTAGTAGAAT